TTTAGCAGATTTTAAAAATTACTTAAAGGTGCAAATTCCTTTTTCCATTTTCATGTCCTTATGAAGATATCTAATTTCAAAGGCTCAATGCACTCATTTGCTAAAGCAGAGAACTTATTTAAGGCTAAATGCTAATAACAATGAATGTTAACTGACTTAATGCAATGTGAAATTGCTGCTTCAATATTCATACAAATGATAATTCAGTCTAAGTGGCTCTGTGTTGTGTAATACAGACATTACTTTGCAATTTGCAGGGTAATTGCATACAGAACTACTAAACAAATTTGTTTTCTTTTGCATCAGAAGTGCTTTGCACATCTCTTCAGTATATGAAGAATATTTTTAAATGCATGGTTTTTAGTGGGATGGCATGGGCAGCTGTTCTCTTGTTGAATATCTGCTAACTGTTAGTGAGTCTCTGATTATCTATCAGTGTCTAATTCCCTTTGTTTGTGTGGTATAATTGCATGAAATTTAAGAGAGATCCCAACAGATACCTAGATCTATTCTTACAGTGTAGGCATTACCCTCCTTTACTGACTTACAGCACCACTAAGTATCTATCTGTATATAGCAGCTTTGAACAAAGGACCTTGGGAAAACAACTTATTGTGAGTTCATAATTACTTTTTTGGGGGCAAAATTTACCATGTAAAATATTTCAATAGGAATATTGTTTATTAACTGTCACTTTTCTGATGCTTTATAGCTCTTAAAGCCAAAATAGTCTTTTATGTATAATTAGAAATGGCTTTGTTTTTATTTCTCAATTTATTCATATGCATAGTTCTTCAATAATAGTACAGAATAGCAACTTTGCTGCAAAACGTTGCTTTTACTCCCTCTCATACTCTCTTTGATTTTACTATTCTCAATCCTGCGTTCAGTTCAGTTTCAGGAAGAATGATTTTGAATAATATGGTCATGATGTCAAAACAGTGCAAATTATATGCTGCTGCCATCTGGAATAGTGAAAATAAAAGCTTTATTTACACTGTTCTTTGAAATAATAAACTTTATTGTGGCAGTTTATCTTCAGTATCTATAGAGTATTCTGGGAATACTGCATGTGAGCCTTTTTATTCTTTGAGCTACAGAATGACTAAAATTTGCCTGTGGCAAAGCTATCAGTGAATCTTGAAATAGTTTTTTTTTTTCTTCCTGAATAGAATGGAGAATCACCCTCCATTTCCACGGTGAGAATAACTGGTTCACATAAGACAATATTTTTTAAGAGGCAGAGTGAAACACTTTGAGTATGTATTTTAGTTAGGCACATTACACATATTTAACTAGAGGTTAATATGCATATTCTGGAACATGGGTGTTTCAGTGCTGCAAATAGTTTATGTGGAAGGAAATACTTAACAGAAATATTACCCAGTTTTCATGTCAACTGGCTAGTCTTGGACTCTGATGCAATTACCTTGCCTTTATACTCCACAACCAAAGTCATCACAATTTGCTTTCGGTACTTCACATTTGCACTTCATATCACAGTAATATTATCATAATATACTATAACTTAAAAAATTATTCATTCTATTCTGTCTTTCTTGTTAAACACAATGCTGATTGCCAAAGTGATTCAGCAAGGTAGCTATGAAGAATTTAAGACTTTAAGACCCTGTTTCTAAAGGCTGCCACTCTTGCTGCCAGCAGGGCCTAGACATGATCTGAAAGCAACTTTTTACAGGAAAAGTACTCAGAATGTTAAGATGTGGCACAAACACTGGATGAAGATCACTGTTTTTCTCTTCACTTAGTGGTGTTATACACCTGGGTCGGTTTATTATGAAGAGTCAAATCCATTGTACTGGATTTGGATGAAATCCTCTTCTTTGGATCTAGTAGTTTTTGTTCACACATAGTCTTGACAGTATACCTCCAGTCATAGCCTGGGAAATTCTTGAAATCTTATGGAAGAATTATGCCATTTTAAAAAGAGAGATTGCAACAGCACACTTTTTTAAGCTCAGAGAAAATTCAGTTAAAGGACAAGCAAAATAGAGTTTATGATCCATAGTTGTGGCACAGCATTTTGCTAGAGCATAATTCAACTTTTTGGTATTTTCAAGATACCACTCCATCAAAATTACTGTTTAAACATAAAAGCTGAGTTTGAGTCTCTACTCTAAATGCTGTTGCATTTGTGAGGGCAGGCTCACCTCTAAGATAGGTGCAGCAACATGTGAAATGATGTGTTGGTCAGTATTTGTAGGTATACTGCAATCTGAATGTTGAGGTTAACGTGCTTTTCCCACGTGTGGCTTGGAATGGAAACAATTACCACTTTGATAAAACTGTCAGCAGAGGTAGGAATCTCAAAGACGTTGTTTACAGATGAGCAATGTCAGACTGAGTACACAGAGAGACAATTTAGAAATACTAAGAACAACTGCAATAGGAAACAAGGCAAGGCCTTTTCCTGTCATTCTCTCTTAAAGGTTTATGTGGTAACCAGTCTTTGTAATTGCCTCTCTGTGTTGTTCAGATCATACATTCTGTGAAAAATAACTTTTGCAGAGCTCTTCCAGCAATCGGAAATGATACCAGCACAGTACTAAGGGCATTCTCTTAATGTCAGTAATGGAACACAGCACTGTTAAGACACCTAACAAATTCAAAGAATGTGCTGTTTTTCTAAATCTCTTGTATCTGTCATTCTAAACAAAATATGTATTACATGTATGACTCTCTAAGCACAAGGACGGACAAATCTGCACTTTAATGGCCTCTCAGAATGACAGTTTCAAATGGCTTTGAGAAGGTCAAGTCTGATTTAAATTGTTGATGAATTGGAAGCTAATTCACTAGAACTGAATGTTAGTAGCGAACAGTGGTATATACCATGGTTTAGAGCCTAATGAGCATATTAATAAGCAGTAAAAAATATTTCTCTTTTCACCTCATGTAAAGTTGTAGAGGTACCAATATATCAAAATTTTCTAATAGTTACTTTTCTCTTACTGTGGCTGAGAGGCAGTTGTTCACTGATTTGATACTCAGCTCTCTTGCACAGTGTGTTTGATGATCTGTCAAACTTGATACCATCAAAGTGTAAAGACAGTTTTGTACAAATCAGTAATAAACTTAGAGAGAAAAAAAGTAATTAACATCTTAAAAACTAAATCCACTGTGATAAGCGCTCCAATTAGAAATTTCATTATTTCCCTGCTCCATTTTATGTTGAATATTGGGTTTTATTGCCAAATACCTGAAAGCCAGATTGGAAACAAGCCACAACTGTCAAAAATATAACAGTTCTGGCTATTTGAATCTGTTACATTGTGATGTTTCTCATGAAAATTTCATGAAGGGCATTCATTCAGAGAGTTTCTGTGCATAAGGGGGATGGATGGAATTTAATTACCCTTATTAAAAATAAGAAAGGAAAGCTCTTTACTACTCCATCCTATTAGTATTCAAGATAGATTATCTTTGTTGTACACTTATGTATTTGCAAAAGGGACTCTTAGGGTTTTCTGCATGAGCCAAGTATAAAAGGACAGGTCAGGTCATAAAAATACTGTTCTGTGTCACAAGTCAAATCTTGTCAGTTACTCCCAAAGTAAAGATTTCAAGCTTATAAACATGAAACATACCTTTTTTTGGGAAAGACCCTACACCTAGTGAAGGTTTTGACACTTAACCACTGATTGGTAGAACTACTAGCTCTGAAAGGATACACAAACTTAATGAAGCATTGTGTTTAGTATACCAGAGTAGTATCTCTGTGCATTTGTGTTGCAAGTAACTAACTATCTTGTGGGTGACAGCAGACCCCAGGAACTGCAGAGATTAATAGGTTGTATTTGCTTGCTATACGTTTTTCAGAAAACCCTGAAACGATTTGAAAATATGGCACATTTCTGATTAAATAGAGTTGGCATTGAACAATTTCTTCTAAGTTAGTTTTATCCCTTAATCAATTGCATGTCAGTAACCACCAATAAAGACATTCAATAAGATACGTGTTTTATAGTTAGCATTGACCTTTCTTTGATTTTTTTTTTTTACTTTTCCTTTTTGAACTGAAATAATAGAAATTATGTTGCAATAAAAATATTTGTGCTGTTTTAATGGAAATTACGATTAAGATGATGTCATTTGAACAGATTATTTTACATATGTAATTTGATTTCTGAGAAATTGCCTGATCCCACTGTGCTTCCAGTGTTACTTGCTAGCATGTATCATCTTAAGAAAGCAAATTGCTCTTGTTCAGTATTTCTTAATATTTCACTGGCTGAACTACAATGAGACCATATCTGAGTGTTTTAGTTGACACAGTTGTGTCTATTCAAGATTATTTTGAATGTCTGTCACTTTAACTTTGATATCTGTGTAGCTCCAATGTTTAGAGTTTCTCAGTGCTTTGCAATCTTACAACGCGTTCATCCTCACAGCACTTCTCTGTAGCGGTAAAGCACTGACATACCCGTCTTGCAGATGGTCAATGAAGCACAGGTACATTAAATGTTAAGACCGACAGCACATAGGTAATAATGATAAAAGCAAGAAATATAACTTGGGTCTCCTAAGTCCCTGGCCACATGCTATACTGTGTGATCATGCTTCCTCATGCACTTGTGTCATGTAAAGAAAAGGGAGTTTTCCCTCTTGTTGATAGGCATAGTAATTCAATATTTCACATACAATAATAAGGACTCTCGCAAGCAGAACAACGTCAGTGTTGTAAAGTACCATAGTGGGAGTACAGTGATTATGTACTGTGTACAGTATCTGTGTCAGTTTAATGCATTTTATAAATATAAAGTTTGTAGCTGCTTTTTTATTGAACTTTCTATTTTGTATCATCATTATGTTCACTATAAGCTGCCAGAAATACTGCCTGAGTGTCAGTTTTTAGCATCAGTTCTTTATATATAAACAATTAGGGAACCCTTGAACGTTAAGCAGGGTAGTGATTGGGACTTTCATGAGTTGCTACATAACTAATGTGAAACCCTTCAAATCATACATTTCTTTTGCAGAGGATCAGATTCCCCGAGGTTTCCCCACCATTGATATGGGCCCACAGCTGAAGGTGGTTGAACGAACTCGTACAGCTACCATGCTATGTGCAGCCAGTGGCAATCCTGATCCGGAAATAACTTGGTTCAAAGATTTCTTACCTGTTGACACAAGCAACAACAATGGCCGCATCAAGCAGTTACGCTCAGGTAGGGTCTTGTTACTGTTTCCACTAACTCCCAGAGTTGTTCTCTCTCACCTTTTCTTTCTTTTCTTTCTCTTCCTATTTTTTAAATTTTTATTTATAGGTAATAATTTCTCTTTTTCCTCTCTTTTCTGTGTTATTGAGTGTGTTGTCCATGTCTGTGATGTTGTCATAGCCTTTTCTAGAGTCTGTCTCTATGTGTTTTGCAGCTTCTGTTTACTCCACATTGCTCACTGCTGTGACTGTATTTTTTGATAATTTTTTTTCTTTACTGCTTTTTGCAGTACTTGATGGATCCATTTTCTCCTCTTTCTTTCTTCTTTCCTTTTTATTTTTTTTTAACAAATTTATTTCAACATTGGACTTCATTCAGAAATTGCAAGGAGTACCAATGGTTATATTCATCAAAACCAAAACCTGCATTAGACACTTCAATTAAAATTTAAGATGTGTTTTGTGCTGCCTTTTCCACATTTGACTCCACCAAAGATTAGCCAGTTTGGACACATCTTCTTTCCTCTCACAAATACATAAAACACAATACTTTTTCCCATGCACAATTATACCTTAAAAAGCAAATTTTAAAAAAAAAAAAGGGAAAGAAATCCTTGGGTAATCAATGAAATAAAGTTTTTTTGCTGGCTGAACATTTTTCCAACACATTTAGCCACAGTAGTGTGCGCCCACGCTAAAGCTTTATGAATCCTACATTTTCTGGATCTACAGAAGTCTGCTTTTGGTGTAGAATCCAGCTTTTGCTGCTCTCTCTCTCTTTGCCCCTTGCACCTCCCTAGCAGTTCTTTCACTCTTCTTCTGCCCTAGTTTATTCTTTTGCACCCTTTAGGTTTTTTTAAAAAATCCTCTAAATTTATGAAGTTTAAAGCCTATCCCTAAATAAGATAATAGGGATATAATGAGCTTTTTTCTTTGGCAATTGTAGTAGATATTGTTGTAGAATCTAAGTTGTTTAATCACATGTCTTCCCAGAATTCTCAGCTTTTGACCTGTCCTGTGATGTTAAATCGTCTTGTTAACTGACTTTTTGCTTGTTGTCAGCAGAACTGTGTAAATTAATCTTCTGTTAATGTAAATTAAGAATTAATTTTTCACATGTGACATAGATATTTAGTATATAAAGCTTTAACTGAAAACTTTGTACCAAATTATAAGGAATATAATAATATTTTTATG